GCTGCTGCACCGGTCCTCGTAGATGGAGATCTCAATCTGGGCCCTGCTAAGGATCATCGGTGGGATGTGCCATCCACAAATCCAATCGCCCGGCACCCACTCCTGGTGTCCCCCCACCCCTCACCCTTGTCCTCCCCCCCAGCACTCCACTGCCTAGAGGATACAACCCTCATGCCACGCTCCAGGGGGTCAGTGAGCAGCAGCCCCCGCGGCGCATAGATCTTCTCATTCTGCTCCTGGATGTACTTGGAGATCTTCTTCAGGACCTGCAGGCACACGGGGAGACACTCAGGGCCTGCCAGTCCTGATGTCCTCCCCTGCGAGCCCTGCAGCCTGCTCTGGCCTCCAGCCCTCCCTGTGCCCCCCACCAGCTGTGTCCATCCCAAAGCACTCCCCTGGACCTCAGCACCTTCTCATAGTGGGTCTCCATGCAGAGGAAGATGAAATAGGCAGTGGCGCAGGCCAGGCACCCCTCCAGGTATGAGCTGCCCCCAATCTTCTCTGCCTCAGCGTAGAAGCCATTAAGGGTTTTCACGGTTTCCTCAAAGAGCTGCCGCTCAATCTAGAGCAGAAACCAGGGTGAAGACAAGTCTGGCCAGAGGCTGACCCCCTGCACTGCCCTGTCCCCATCCCAGGGGGGACACTTAACCCTCTCCTCCCTGCCCAGCTGATGCCTCAGCTCCCTGGCCCCTGCCCACCACCCGCTCATGCCAAGACCTGCTGAGCCTGCAGCCCTTCACCAGAGCCTCCTGATCCCCAGGAGCACCCAAGCCCTTGCACCCCAGGCGAGGTGGCTGTGATGGCATGCACCCAGCAGTGTTGGCTGGCCCAGGGCCATACAACACCCCATGACTTCAGACCTCTCTCCCCCTTGAGCCCCCATAGGGCACTGACATAGGGCACTCCCCACCCTGTTGGCCTGCCAGGCTCCCTACCCGGCTCTCCAGCTCAGGGGGGAACTTCGTCTGGAACTGGCACGTGGTCCCATCGCTGTAATCCCGCTGCACGAAGACCTTGGTGGCCAGAGATGCGCTGCGCCGCAGTTCCTGCAGGCTGTGCACCTGGAGGGTGCCAGGGTGAGAGCCGAGGGGCCACAGCCGCAGGTGACGGGCATCCCTGCTGTGGGCTGGGACGCCAGGAGCAATGCCATTCGCCCAGCGTCAGGGCATGGGGGCTGCAGGCTCGCACAGCCCAAGGCAGGGAGCCCCCGGCATGGGCCGTGTCATGCCATGAGCACAGCTTGGCGTGGGAGGCAGGAGGCCAGGAGTGAGGGGAGGATGGCAACAAGGGGAGGGTGTAGCGGCAGCCCCCTGCTCGGAACATGGGAGAGTGCATGAGCTCCCCGCCCGGGGCTGGTGCCTGGCCTCGCCTGCACCGGCTGCTGCACACTCGGGTGTGTGTCTCTGGTGGGCCATGGCCCGGGGAGGGGACAGCCCTCTGTCCCCAGCACGCAGCCACCCCAGCAGCTCCCAAGCAGGAGGAGGGAAGCGAGCGGAGCAGGAGCAGGGGGCTGGGCAGCGGGTCTGCAGCAGAGTGGGCAGACAGGCTGCAGCGGGGTGGCTGCACAAAAGGGATCGGCGGCCCCAGCGGTGGCAGGCGCTCAGCCCAGCCCTGGCACCCCCCAGGGTACAGGGGCCCACGGCAGCCCCCTGGGCTCTGGGACACAGCGCAGCTGGGGGCGGGCTGGGGAAGAGGATGGGAGAGTGGAGGGGCCAGGCCGTGCCGAGGGCAGGTGTCAGACCCCCCCTCTGCTTCCCCTTGGGTGACACGGGGCCACCTCCTGCTGTGTGCCCACAGACCTCCTGCCCCTGTCCCGGCTCACACCCACGGCACCTGGGAGGGGGACCCACAGCCACCCCTCCTCCCGGGGCACCCCGCCCCAGACCCGCACCGCGCCCTCCAACAGGGGCACCCCGCAACCCCCCCAGCA